ATTTGTTAAATATAACACTTACTAATTCGGTAATAAATTATAATAAAAAGAAAAAAAATTAGAAGGCATATCGTGTACGAATATCCTCGAGCTTTTTCGATACTTCAGAAGCTGTTCGTTCGAGATCACTCGATATACTTTTTTGTTTTGCTGGTTCAATGGAATTAAATTGTTCACAAAGATCTCCATCTATAACGTTTTTTATAGGATAATAATAAGACCTAAATGATAAATGATCTCTTCCACAAAGTGGGGGATGTTCCGAACGCATATGCATTTCCAAATGTTGGAAAAAATCATGATCTTCATGACTTGTAAAAGGAACAAGAACACCAACTGTTCCACTTAATGTCGTATATACTAAACTTTCAGAACCACCAGGAATAAGGGTTGCCTTTTGTAGAGACATAACTGTTTCACCAACATGAAAACAAGCAACTGTATCCGCTTTTTGACTGGCACCATTTAATAAACCTCTATCCCATAATGCTTTATTTCCAGTTGGATCTTCATCCACGTCATCATTAATTCCACTTGCTAAACGTATCTATTAAAGAATATTTAAATACAAAATTTAAATATTTATTTAAATCATCTCTTATTCCTAATTAATTATTGAAGTAAATGTTATTATATTACTTACAACAGCAATGTTTCCAAACTTATCAGCAGTAGCAACAGTATCATAATCTAACACGCATGTTGTAGTTATCCATCTCGGGTGTGTATCGTCGGCGAAAACTATAAGTTGATTTTCTTGACGTTTATATCTGACAGCATACACAGATTCTTGTACATCACTCACATAAATTCTTTGTCCAATTGCATTGATAGATACAACAGCATTAGGAATATGTTTATTTTCACATTTTCTTAACAACTTTTTCTTGCCCATATCATATAAACGCAACATTCTACCAACACCAACTAATACTCTTCCTTGATATGGACATATAGCCAAAGGTACTTCATCCAAAGTAGTTTTGTGCACTAATTCGAGATTAGTGCATTCGCTATTAACTCTGAAAAAAATATTTACTATAATATTTGTTTTTCTTTTTAATATATATTTTATATTGAATTTATATTTCAGAACTGCAGGACTTTTTCATCAAATTGCATTGCAGTAATTGTGTTCTTTTTCATCATAAAAATTTTTGTAATATTTTTTTCATTTTTTTTATATCTTTATATTTTAATTATTATTATATTTATTAATTATTTTTATATTTTACTTTTACATGTATTAATTAATTTATTTTAACATATTAATTATATATTAAAACATATTTATTATTATAGATTATACTTACTTGTACGTATACAGAAAACCACCACTGCTAACTCTCGGATTTAATTGAAATTCTTTCGCAATACCAACTATTAGAAATAGTTGATCACCTTGATTAGCAAATTTTACAAGGCTTAAACTGTAATATAAATTCATTTAAAATAATAACAATAATAATTTTTTTCTATACTATTTTTTTCTATATATCATTTTATATACTTGAATTTTTATTTATATTTTTACCATAAAGCAGCTAAATTTTGCTCAAGTCGGTGAACTTCAAATGTTTGCCCTGTTGAGGGAGCGATTATTCTTATTAATGATGCCCATAAGCCTGGTCCAGCTCTTGGTGCACCAAACACAGCTTCATTGGGTTCCTCGGATAAAAAAGCCTCCGCTAATTCTCTTGCTACTACAGCCTCTTCTGCTCCCGCAGCTTCTTGCATTTCTTCTGCCATTTGCAATCTTCTCTGTTGTTTTGTTTCTTCTGTGTATGCATTGTGTTCCGTTTCAATAATTATCAGATGTGCAGAGTCTGAGTGAATTGCGAATTTTCTCGGAGTATATTCCAATGGAAAACTAATTTGATTGAACACCGCACCTAACTTTTCGAGGGCAAGAATTCTAAGTGTATTTGTCGAAATAGCAACAATTCCTTCGGGGCATTGTTCAGAACTAAAGCCTGATGCGAATTCTAAACTTTCATAGGATAGTGGTGTTAAATGAAAACGATTCTGATAATAATAACTCAACCATGATCTGCTGCTCATTGCAAGTACAGCTTGATTTCCCTGCATTTTTATCCTAAATAATTTCACGGCTCGGGAACCCAAGTATCGCGTCCGCGTATCAGCGAGATCACCCGAAATTGGATCTAGTACTGTTCTTAACAAAACACCGTTTTGTAGACCTAATAGTACATATTTAAGAAGAATATTATGAAAAATATTATAGAAATAAAAACTATAATATTATTTTTAATTTTGTTTACCTATATTTAAATAAAGACTGGATTGCTGAAGTGATAATTCTTCAGAATTATTTGCATCTTTAGCACCCATTTCAACAATACATAAACTTTCCGCAGCTGCAGGTAGAGCTTGCATACTTCTAGGTGCTAAACAATCTGAAGGATCTAAAGAAATGATCCTTACTGTATTGTCTTGAAGACCAACTGCTAAGAACCATGATCTTTGTTCACCAATTGCTACATTACCAAGAGCCATACACATTACTTCTGATGGCATTTTTTTTCGTTCTGTATATTCATTTAATTGCCCAGTCTAAGAAATATAAAATAGTAAAGATTACTAAACTTAAATGGATTTAAAATTTTTCCATTTTTTATCTAGTTCAAACAATGAATATTTCATTAATTAAAATGAAAAATAATATATTATTTGTATATATTACGTTTTCTTTTTCTGAGAATAATTAATATTGTAAAAAAAAAATTCAAAAATAATATAATATTAATAAACATGAATTAAAAAATTAATACACATACGGGATCCATTTCAAAATATACCAATTCTCCCCCGGTGAGTGCAATTACAACTTGACGTTGATTCACTGCACATTTCACTATAGTCTTTTTACCAGGTGCTTTCCATTCATTTACACGTTTATCTGCTCGAATATGACGTATTCCATCAGGATATACCTAAATAAAATATAATAAAATTATAATAATAAATTAATAAATAATAATTTATTAAGAACAAAAATATTTTAACAATAGGAATTATGTCGAGTTTAATTTACCAGAAATATTTAGAGAAATTATCTAAATATTCAACGATGCAAGAAACTCTATATAATCTAGCACTATTTATTGCGACCGATTCGTGGTAGACCAGGAATCGGAGATACCGTAGTGCGAAATAGAATTATATTATCTTTACATACCTGTACCAAAGCATCTTCACCTAAAGCAGAACAGCTTAGAGTTGGTGTGGTACCAAGAAATCCAGAATCAGTCACTTCTTCTACAGTTTCTCCAATACTAAGTACAAGAGTAGCATTCACGAAGGACACTATGATGTAAGCATCATACTCCTCTGCAATCAAAATTACAAAGCTCACTCTGAATATCTAAGAAAAATAAAGATTTGAAAACGAAATTCGATAAAATAATAGAAATCATCTCTTCATAAACGGTTGAACACGCTGTTTTTCTCATCCTACATGCAAAGAGTAGATGGTTTTTGGATGTAAATTCAATTTCTTTAATCTCCGGCAATTTTGACAGTCCTTACCTTTCTGTCATTTTCTGTGTTCTGAAGTTCAACCAATACCATGCTGGTAGCCTGAAAGAGAGAACTGGTGTTTGATAAGAGTGTATCAAGCCACCAGATTTATTAGTATCATTTACAAAATCAACTTCTTCATTCTCTTTTGCATTTTATTTTTTTATTGAAAAATTGTAGAGTTAAAATAGAATAAATAATAAAATAATTTCCTCTTTAGGACAGTAGATAAAAAGATTCATGGAATTATTTTTATTATTAAATTTTTATTTTTTTTTTGTCATTCAAGTAGAATTATTTCGTATTCTAAATATCTCCACAATTTTTTAATGTCATTCATTTTAGATTACCACAGTGAAATATCCATATCCGCAAAGAATAGATTCTAAAATTCTCTGCGGATACCTGAAATTGTAAATAGTAGCAAATGCTATATATTATAAATATCTATGATAAAATTTAATTCTATTTAATTTTATGATAAAATTAAGCACAATTTAACAAATTATTAACAAAAATAATAAATTTATAAATAAAATACAATAATTTCATAATAATTAATAATAAAAATAGAAGAGATAATGATACATAAATATTTATAATTATAATATATTGCATGTATGATGAGATGAAATAAAATGAATGATATAGGCAATATTTTATTATTATTATTAACTTCAAATAATTTTTGTTCTCGTAAGTGATAGAAATTAAAAGATTTTCTATTTAATTTTTTTGAATCATTTCTAATCACTAAGTGAAATTCAAGATTTTTACTGTATTAATTTCTAATTGAAAAATTTTATAATTATTTAAAAATTGATATTAATCTATATTTAAAAATATTCAATTTTTATTTAATTAATATCCTAACTTATTTTAATTAAATTTACGAAGAACTGATTTTGCTGTAGATGATAAAATAAGCAAAGTATAAATATTACTATAAGAATGGATATTTTCATTGCAAAAAATAAAACTAAGCTAGAAATATTTTATTTGCATTATTGTTTAAGCATATAATGAAAAAAAAAAACATGCAAACGACTATTGCAGAAGATGTTTCTAAACTAACCATCGACTCTTCTTTTAACAGTCCACACTGCATTTGGATTACCAGGTAGTTCACTAACAGCCATCTCAGATACTTCTAAACCATGTCGTAACACTCGCAATGTAGATCGTGGTCCTCTACCACAAGTTATATATAATTGTGGGGTATCTTCATTTGCTAAATCAGCTACCTATATAAAAATAATAAACTTCATATATATAAGTATTATTTATTACAAAAATTTCAAATAAAGGTATAACATATTCCCGAATTTTTATGTTTTCTATTATTAATTTTATCATTCAAATTTCGCATTTTTAAAAGCACAATAAAATGCAACAATGAATATATTTATTTTTTTATTATATTTATTTTGCATCTAAATATTATACTTTTTTTATTTTGTATATGTTATTCTTAGGTTCAACTTCAATTTGCAAAAACAAATTAAAGGCGACTAAGAATATTTTATTGTTGCACCTCTCACAAAAAAAAACACATAGAGTATTAATTTTTTACTTGAAGGTGCATTAACATTTATTTAATATAAGTAATATTATCATTATAAAATCACCTGACACGCCATTATAGGTGATAAACTATCCATTTCGTCAACTAGTACTAAATTTCTAAGTGGTCTTGGTGCAAAAAAGAACGTATCGCCTTCTTCAAGAGGCATGGCAGAACTAAATTCTGGTTCATCATCATCATCTCCTAAATGTGCAATTTGATAGAGATAACTAGAAAAGATATGAAAAAATATACAAGCATGTTTGAATTAAAAAATATGACTCTTCAAATAATACACTTACTGATTACCAAATTCCGAAGCTACGAACAAAAAACCTGTTTTTAAAACGCACATACTCGCTGCTACAGGTACCGTATCAAAGTATTTTAATTTAATTTCAGTCACCATATCTTCATCTGTTTCAAGTGTAATCTTAAAAATGTCTCCTTGTTCTGTTTGAGCCAAAAAGAAAAACATGCTTTTAGTTTTATGAGTAGCAGAACACACGAATATCATGCCCCTTTCAGGATCATCTAAATCATTACGTCTCCTCGGAATTGGGCAACGAATATCATGTTGATCTCCTAAATTTTTATATGTTAGATAATTTTCAGAACAAATAAGAACACCACTTGGTCCATCATTTCCTCCTGGGACAGATACAAGGAAATTTGCATGTTCTTCCAAAGGTTCACTATATTTGCGTACAACATGATTTAAACCAAGATCAAGTTCATATAAAGTTAAAGTTTGTTGTGTTTTTACTGCTGCATCTCCTGTAGGATCACTATCAGCTTCCTAAAATATTATATAAATTAAATATCATTTCATTCAAAATAATGTTTAATTAATAATTAATATTTAATTATAATTATTATTAAACTTATTAAGAAATTATTTAATATTACTATATTTTTTAAAAAAGTTAATATATTACCTCATAATCAATTTCTAGACAAGCAAACATAGGATTTTCAAAACCTACATCCACTCCCACAGTATGATAAACTAATGTATTACTCTTATGTGCTTCCAAAGGTGAAGAAATTGTAAGACGAGCTTCTGGATCTCTATTTAAAATGTAAACAAGCTTTTGTTTCTCAATGGCACCTACAAAAATGCAAATTTTTTATGGATAATAACTGAATTACATTATTAAAAATATTTTCACAAATAAAATATATCATCATTAAAAATGATTATAATCAATGTTAATCAGTTGAAACACGGACAATACTAATCATTTGATATAAAAAATAATTATTTATATAATTTACTCAATTATGTATACTATATTTTATAACATATAAATACCTATCATTACAGCTCTTCCTTTAGGATCTATAGCTAAATATTGCCCAGGTACAATGCGTCTACATCCACTTTTTCCAAATGTTTCTTGATGTACTTTCTCAAAAACATTTTTAGCAGGAATATATTCTAAAATTACAATGCGTCCAGAATCTGATCCAACAACAATGTAATCTTTTGTACCACCAGTTAATCTAAAGGCCATTAAAGACCTTATGATTCCAAATACTTCAACAGTTAAAAGAGTATGAACTTTACCAGTATTTGGATCTGGTCTTAATAATTCTAAAGATTTGCCACGTGAAACTAAAATCTCTTGCATTTTACTACCAGAAAAATTTCCATGCACTGCATGGGTAATACCTGTAGCACGCTGAAGAGTCAAGTTGTATAGATACATTTTTTTATGTATATTTTTTTTTCAATTAATCACAAGATGGAAAAATTTATTACTTTTCATTAGTATAAAAGTTCTACATCCATTCTGTAATTAATATTAGAAATAAAATAATTTAATTGACTTATAAGATTTTATGTATTAAATAAAGAATTTTTTTAAATCGATATTTATTAATACAGAATATATGAATAATATAATCAAATATATTTACAAATAATAATTTCACATAAAAAAATATATATTTCGATCTTTTTTTTAGTTTTATTAAATAAAATGTTTTAAATTTAAATAAATTAAATAATTTAATAATTTTCAATAAAAATATTCAAAAATAATAATAAAAATTATTTACTACATGTGATATTAAAATGTAAAAATGAACATGAGAAAATTTTATATACATATAAGTAAGTTTTAAAATTAAATATGAAATAAAAAAATATTAAAAATTTTAAATATAGAATAATTTAAAAAATATTATTTTACCTTGTAGTTGAAAATATTTTTCAACTTTACATACGATGCTTTCAGATAATTTAGCTCGTCTCAGATCAACAACCATAATCAACGACCAACTTTGTCTCATTTCAGATTCGTTTCTACCATAATATATGATATAAACGGAATGGAAACTAACATGATTTTTAATAAGTCACAGCGCTATCTAAAATCTTATATTGGAATTAAAATTATTATTAATATTATATTTTAAATATTTAAATAAATATTTAGTTTAATTATATTTTACTAAATATACACATATTATATATTATAATAAAATTCAATTATTTTAATTACATTATAATTATAAAAAAAAATAAATAAATGTTTTTTTATATTTAAGATTCAAAAGTATAATAATATTTGATAATAATATTTATTTAAATTTTATATCATATATAATTATAAATACTTTTATATACAAATTGTATTTAAAATAACTTATATTTTTATCTATTTATATATTTTTTTTATCTATAAATTTAAATATAAATATAAAATGCTATTGGAAAGAAAATTAATAGAAGCAAGACAAATAAAGGCAAGAAAATTAATTATTTCATTGTCATGCAACATTGCAAATATATACTTGATATATTAGAGCTTTCTAGTCAACGAGCATTCCTATTTTATGATTGTATTAGATCTATTAGAAATAACCAATTAGATTTATATTCAAAAAATTTTTTTTCAATATTGAATTATGAATCACAACATGGATGTGTAATGTTATTTAGGATCAAGTTAAAAAATATATTTATTGTATGAATAATTAAATTATTAAATTAAATAAATAATAAATTAAATAAATTATTAAGAAAAGACTAAGATTTAAAATGAATAATATTAAAATAATAATGTTTAAGCTATTAAGAACATATTTCACTAAATCTAAATGTGAATCTGTTGGTATACGTAGAAAATTAAAAATATCGAAAATGAACGAATTTGACAATAATTTTGAAGAAATGGATCAAGAAGACAGTGAAATATACGATTCTGATTTTATGACAGTAGATACATCTTATAAAAATAAAATCAGGTACATATAAAGTAACATTGAATTTTATTTTATATATTATCAATTTTTTAAAATAAATTTTTAATATAATTTTTAGAGAAAATAAGAGAATCCAAGAACAATTAAAACGTCGTATTATTAAAAATAAAGTTTTTAAAGAAAGAGAACCAAATTTTCTTACATTTGTTGAAAAGGATCAAATAAAAAAACTGCATGAGAATAATCCTGAAGAATGGACACCTGAAAAACTTAGTGAAAGTTTTCCAGCTTTACCTAATACCATAAAAAAAATCTTGAAAATAAAATGGATACCAAAATCAGTAGAAAGAATTCTACAATATGATAATAAGGTTATAGAAAATTGGAAACAATTAAAAACTGGAAAATTGGTAGTAAACGATACCTTAAAACAACATTTAATGAAATTTAAAGATAGAAAAATTCAATTATGTGATAAGGAAACTTTAATGAAAAATTTTATACCTCCAGAAATAAAACTTCCAAAACCCAAAAGTTCATTTTTTTCTAATATCATAAAAAACTCTACTGATAAAGAATCAATCATAGAAAATAAATTATTGATTTCATCAGAGAATAATATAAATAAAGATACAAAGAACTTTAATATAACAGAGAAGAAAGATATAAAATTATTCAAGGAAACAAATAATTCTATTAATATATATAAGACAGAAAAGTATAATACAAAAGAGAAAACATTATTGTTTGAAGAATTCATGAAAAACAAATTAAATAATCCGAATGAAATATCTCATGAAGAAAAAATAGCACTTATGAATATTTATAAAAAATATGTAGAATCTAAAAATTCAGAAGATACAAGTTTTAATATAATGAACAATATTAAAAAAGATGCTATTGAAAAAAAAAGCATTAGTATAACAAAGACTCTATCTGATAAAGATAGTATTCAAAATATTAAGAAAATTAAAAAAAATGAAATTAAATTAGCAACTAAACTAAATGACATAAGTTTAGATACATATATAAAAGAACGAAATTCATTTATGGATACAAATTTTGAATATTCAAAACATATAAAAATTCCTCAAAATGTTTATAAACAAGGTATGACATATAGAATAAAAGATTGTTATTATGACGATGATGGAGAGTTTTTATATAGAATACCAGGATTAAAAGGAAACAGTTAATGAATTATTAAAGAAATTTTGTATATTTAATATTTTTATTTTAAATATATTTAAATAATAAAGATAAAATATATATAAATATTTTAAATATATATTGTATGTAATTATAATTAAATTAATGAAAAAAAAAGAATTTAATATGTTTATTCTTCATTTATATTTCATTTATATAAATTTATCTTTAATTATTTCATTTATATTATTATACATTTTTAATTAATATGAAAATATTAATGTAAATCTTAAAAAATCTTAAAAAATCTTAAAGATATATTGAATCTAAGTAACAAATAATATTATTTCATAAATTATAAATTAATATATTTTTATTTGAAATGTACAAATAGATAATGAAATATCTATATCATTATCAATACTATGAAATAGAAATAAACATAATATTTAATATATCGATACTTAAAATAAGAATATAAATAAAGTAAGAATTGACCGTCAGCGCCAAATCTTGAATAATATATTTTTTTAATACTATTAGAAAGATGGCTCTAGTTTCTTATTCTAATTTACCTATCTTTGAAAAAATGTCTTGTATTCGAAAGATACCCTTAATGATTAATTCTTATTTTATTTTTATTCTTTTTGTATTTTATTTGTGGTTTTTTGAAGATAATGTTGATTTTAATATTTTTATTTTATCTATGTTACTATTTCTTTTTCTTCTTTTCTATAGTTATTCAATATGTTTATTCATGGTTTTAAATGATAGTTTTAATATCTATAAATGTGATCTATAATACAAACACTACAATATTTATAAAGGAATGTATCAAAAAAATTATTGATTTTAATAATAAATGTAATCAATAAAATTGATTTTATTATTTTTTTATAATTAAATTGAATGTAATTCTTGAATTCAAAATCAACAGAATGTATATCAAGCACTTTGATTATTTGCAATCAATATTTCAAAAAAAAGAATACAAAGTTCCATCAAATATTGTATAATCAAAAATCTTTACAGATCCATTAAATTTTATGTCTCATTTTTTATTTCATGTTAATATTCGTATTAATATTTCGTATTAATAGAACGAAATGGCGCTCGACCTTTTAAGATTATCGAGTAAGAAGAGATCATAGATATGTTTATGATTTGTTTTAATTTTTGTTGATAGATGTCCTTCCCATTAGCCGCAACATATTTTATGAAGATTTTTGATGTTGCAGATAAATCGTTCGTAAAATGGTAAATAATTATAATTGCTAACTGAACCTCTATATTTTATTTATATGAAATCATGAAATAAATTTATATGTTCTTTTTCTTCCATATTAATATGAGTTCATAAATATTTTATTTATAAATTGATTGCATTTTTTTATCACATATAGGTTATGTTATTTCGAGTAACTTTCATACTTTTCGTCTAATTGCATCATAAAATTTCAATTTCTCAGAATTAACCTATCGATAGATGTTTCGAACTTCATAAAAAAAATAGCAATGAATTAATTAATTACATATGAAAAAATAGAATTTGTATAAAATAATATAAAATATATAAAAATATAATTATTGTACGATAATAATTATTATGCAATTAGATATTGTTTATGAATTATGAACTTTTTTATGAATATATATTTGTAAAATAAATTATTATATTTGTAAAATTTTTATATTTGTAAAATTATCACAAAATGTTTTTTCTATATAAAAATTTATCTCTTACATATATTTAAAATATTTATTTTTTTGTTTTTAGTTTCAGAACTTTTCTATCTGTAGAGCCAGCCTTATAGGTATATCAAGATCTACTCGATCTAAAAAAAAACTTCCCAGAGATGGCTCAACAATATGTATTTACAATGTTTTGCTACGATCACAATTATCTCAAATCACAAATATACAAAGTTTATCAGTGAGTTTCTTATCAAAATGTTTTTAAAAAAAATTTATTAATTTGATTAATTATATTCTATCTCTTTAGATCAGATTCTATTCAAACCCAGCAAGGAGACCCAGTTTTTTCTCTCAATTTCTTGAGAATATCAAACAAGAAATGCAAAAGAATAAAGAGATGAAAGAATCTTTGAAAAAGTTTAGAGAAGAAGCAGAGAAATTGGAACAATCAGAAGCATTGAGATCTGCCAGACAAAAATTTCAAGCAGTTGAATCTGAAGCTACTAAAGGATCAGAGGCTCTGAAAGAGAAATTAGAATCTTTAAAGGAAAAGGTGCAAATGAAAAAAAATATTTTATTATAATAATAAAATTTAAAAGTATTATACATATTAATCAAATGTATAGGTACAAGAAGTTCTTGAAGAAGCAAGTAAAACTGAATTAGGTAAAAAAGCTGGTCAGCTAAGTGAGGAAATATCAAAATCTGCAAAAGGAGCAGCAGAAACAATATCTGAAAAAAGTCAGGCTTTAGGTAAAACAAGTGCATTTCAAACAATATCACAAACTGTAGAAGCTGTGCGAGAAGAATTAGATCATCAAGGAATGCATGGTAATTATAATTAGAGAATTTACATATATATATATATAAATACAGTAATATATTTTTGTTTGAATCAATATTATAGGAAAAGTGTATGTTCCACCTAAAAAATTAAGAAAAAGAAAAGATGTAATAGAATCAGTAGATAGTAAAATTGTTCAACCAAATGCAGAGGCCACAGGTGTTGAATTACATAAAGATTCTAAATTTTATCAATCATGGCAGAATTTTAAGGTATGTCATTTAATTTAAATTAAATTTATAGAATTGTTGATATTTATAATAATTATATTTTTTCAAGGATAAAAATCCATATGTGAATAAAGTATTAGAATGGAAAATCAAATACGAAGAATCGGATAATCCTGTAATTCGTGCCTCCAGATTATTGACAGAAAAAGTTACAGATATAGTCGGTGGACTATTTCAAAAGACAGATTTATCAGAAACACTAACAGAAATTTGTAAACTAGATCCTAACTTTGATAGAATACAATTTTTAAAATATTGTGAAACGGATATTATTCCAAATATTCTAGAAGCTATGGTTAGAGGAAATCTTGAAATTTTAAAAGACTGGTGTCATGAAGCTCCATATAAATTAATAGCACAACCATTAATACAAGTAGAAAAATTGGGATATCAATTAGATAATAAAATTTTAGGTATATTTTATGTTTCATATAAATATTTTACTTCATATAATTATTTCACATAGAATAAAACATTTAATTTCAGATATTAACAACGTAGATTTAATAATGGGCAAAGTAATGGAACAAGGACCAGTTTTAATAATTAGCTTTCAGTGCCAACAAATTATGTGTGTGAGAGATGCTAAAAAGAATGTTATTGAAGGAGATCCTGAAAAAGTAATGCGTGTTAATTATATTTGGGTATTGTGTCGTGATCCTACAGAACTTAATTCAAAAGCTGCATGGCGTTTACTTGATCTTAGTGTAACCAGTACTGAACAATTTGTATAGTGTACAGTTTAGGTATGAATTTGATTGAAAATTTTAAAGAAATAGATGTGAATATGTGATTGAAAAATAAGTAAGAACTGTCACTTTCTTTTCTTTTTTTATGGTTTCTAATGCAATATGTATTGAAAGAGAAGCCTGAATGATGGATATTAATTCTTACGACTTGATTACCTTCAAATATACAAATTTAGTTCTGTAGCTTAAGCTATGGAAATGTTATAAATTTTATGTTGAATTTTGATTTATATATAAATTTATATAAGTATAAATATTATAATATTATAAATATAAAAGTAAATTATATTGTAGATATACTTATTAAAACACGATAGTTTATTATTATATTTTTCTAATATGTTCAAATAATACAATTATATTATTTATATAATTAAAATATAAATTAAAAATTTGTTATTTTTAGGATTATAAAGTTATCCTTATATATCAAAAGATAATTATCAATATAAATTACTGTACAATCATATTTTATAATCATATATAAGTATATCATTTGAACTAATGAACGAAAAAATAAGCAAATTTTAGTAACTAATTTCTGTACATATTTAAAATATTGATATTGACATTAAAATGCTAAAGAATAGAGCCTAACAAAATATATATTGGATGCCAAATATTTATTTTGCACAAATTATATAATATAAAAAATAATGTAAACATTTTATAAATCAACAAAGATTGTATATATTTTCATGTTCATATTGCATAAAAGTGCATAATTTATTAGTATATTTATTATTTTTAAAATATGTAATATATTTGTTTTTTTTTTCAAATATCAATAAGATTATGATTATAAGTATATTGTACAAATAAATTCAATGTGTAAAATTAAAAAAAAAAATTTTGAAAAAGAAATTAAAATTTTTTTCATTTGGTCTTCTTTTTACATTGTTTTATAAACAAATTGCACAAAAAATGTTAAATCAAAAATATAATATCTTTATTCATAACTGATTCATTTAATATATATAATTAAATTTTTTAAAAATTTTATATTGAGTCTAATTAAATACTGATGAAATTATTTAAAAATATTTCAAATTTTTTTTGTGCGGTTTACAACAAAATATTCTTTAAATGTAATTTCTTTATAATATCAACAGTTTCATTTATATTTTTATTAAAAATTAGAAAATTAAAATATATTTATATTTCTATATTTGTTTCTTTTTCCTTTATATTATTCATATGCAAACATTATTATAATACAAATATTTTTTTTAAATATTAAAAATATTTAACCTATATATATATATGCAATATATTTATAATTTTATAATTATTAAAAAGATATAATTATTAAAATATAATTTAATTAAATATTGTATATAACTGAAAAAAATATAATGGAACTACGAGTGCATATAGCTATAAAGATATAGCTAAATATTAATTATTAACGCTAAATATATAAATATATAAACTAAAATATTTTTATATTTTTGTTAATAATATTAATTGAAAATGAATATAAAATATATTTAATATTGAGAAAAATTCTTCGAATTATTTATATTAAAAAATCTAATATTGATAATACAATAATTTAGTTGCTATTAATTGAGAGCCGCCATGATATGTATATGTCTGCCTTTTGTATCACCAATGCAGTAACGTAATAGAAGCATCTGGACGATCGGTAGCAATTCC